TTCAATCGATACAACATATTTCGACCACTGGATGTTTATAACATAATTATTTTATGTATAAATTAAAATTTACTTCCTAAATTATCACATTTAGTTATTATAAAGAACATACCATGGAAAACCACTGTTTACCCACATGTCGAACTCATAACGAGAGTCTGTTACAAGTGGAGACCCATAGTTGAGGTAAAAGGCACCAAGCGACTGGATTTGAATCTGCGGTGAAGTGTACCACTTCCACCAACCTCATGAGGGAAAAATCAACGAACAAAATTATACAAACTTGAAACCGAGCAAGCAAGTTCAAGTGGTATACCGGCACGAAGCCTAAGAAAGGCGGTCAAGTTGTGTTGGAGTGAAATCACCCAACACATCGACAGATTTCCCTGATGAATTACAACATCAACAAATTGCAAACCAGTCCAAGATACCAGAACAAAATGAGCATTTTATTGTGTTGTGTCGTGGAATAACATAAGCATTTTAGTGACAAATAATCAAAATGACAATAAATCTTAACGATAAACCAAATGCATCCCATGCAAAAGTGAATAACATAAGCATTACTCCAACTTTCAAATTTGAATCCAGATCCTCTTACAACCATAGAGTCATGGGCGAGGAAGTGAAATCGAATCATCTTCCCCTCCAAACGACCAAAAAGTGCACCCATATCACCAATATACTAACAAAATCGTAGAGGTGCGGCATGGAGCAAGCCCAATCTTTTGGTACAACGCCCATAAGCTTAAGCAATTCGGTGAATTGGAGTTTAAAAGCAATTGTCCAGCACATTGAAAGAATACCATGATGGAGTATCATCTCGAATTCTCATGAACTGTACCAAGATATGAATATAACCATCTGCATCATAAAATCAATAAGACTCAAACACCAACGAATGGGAAAAAAAGTAAGATTCAACAAGCAAATGTAAGATTATCGACAAGAAAAAACATAAAATTATCGAAAAGAAAAATGTAAGATTCAACAAGTAAATGTAAGATTATCAACAAAACAAAACATAAAATTATAGACAAGAAAAATCTAAGATTCAACAAGCAAATGTAAGATTATCAACAAGACAAAACATAAATTTATCGACAAGAAAAATGTAAGATTCAATAAGCAAATGTAAGATTATTAAAAAAAAAAAAAGATTATCGACAAGAAAATATAAGATTTAACAAGCAAACATAAGATTATCAACAAGATAAAACATAAGATTATCGACAAGAAAAATGTAAGATTCAACAAGCAAATGTAAGATTATCAACAAAATAAAACGTAAGATTATCGACAAGAAATATGTAAAATTCAACAAGCATATGTAAGATTAGTAACAAGAAAAAAAACATAAGATTATCTACCAGAAAAATGTAAGATTCAACAAGCAAATATAAGATTATCAACAAGATAAAAATATAAGATTATCGACAAGAAAAATATATGATTCAACAAGCAAATGGAAGATTATCAACAAGACAAAACATAAGATTATCGACAAGAAAAATGTAAGATTCAACAAGCAAATGTAAGATTATCAATAAGAGAAAACATAAGATGTACGATTCAACAAGAAAAATGTAAGATTCAACAAACAAATGTAAGATTATCAACGCAAAAACAAATTTAAAGAGCAAGCACGAAAACAAATTCAAAGAGCAAGCTTTTACAAAAAAAATATATTTTTTTTTTGTCTATTGTGCTTCTGCATAATCTTGTAAAAGTTATCATTCGAAACTGTAGAATTTTGTCAATTTCTCAATTCATGGGGTTTGATTTGAAGTTGATTATGGGTTTTGGGTACTAAGAAAGCTTCTTCCTTTAATTTTCTCTTTTCTTCTATTTTTATAGGTCTGATAGTTTCTATTTATTCTGATGCGAATTCAATCTTATTGAAATTGATAGATTAGGGTGTGGCTTTATTTGGTGGATTAGGTTTAGAGAACCATACCAGTTTTTGATAGTTTCAATCTTTATCAAAATGATCTCAAATTGTTTTTTTTTTTTTTCCAACAATCACCATATATTAATTATCTCAAATTGATTACAGAATTCACATGATGAATACTAAAAACTAGGAGATATTGTGTGTGATTGGTAAGGCTGTAGAATCATTTTACAGCCCAAAAAAGAATTACAGCCCTAAGATTTAACCAATCAAGCTTTAGCATTTTTAAATAGGTCATTTTGGTGT